CAGCAAATGCTTGGGGGTTTCGGGCTTTAGAGGTTGAGGGTTTCGGGGTGAGGAGTGTAGAGTTTGGGCTCAGAGGCTTCAAGGAAGAGCCTTCATTGAGATAGCTTCTTTAGGTTTTGGGGTTTGGGAGTCTGCAGAAATTGCAGCTTGAGAGTTTGTAAGTCTAGATCCCTTAAGGTGGCCTCCTAATCCTGTAGTAGTATATGTCCCCAAATTCGGTGAGATCTACTCTTTCAAGGGGAATCAATTCACTTTTGTAGGGTACTGCAGCAGTCAGGCTTGGAATTATTATTCCTCCGGTTCTTCCAGACAGCACCACTATTCCTCGTGATGATCTAGCATGTGCTATTTTGGTATACTTGACCATCCACCAACCCCTTGTCATGCTCATCCCCATTACGCATGTAGCTCTTTTATTGTATTACTTGTACCGCGCTTGTGATGGCTGTAGTATAGCAGCCCATACTGTGCATAGCTCGCATCGGACGAGCAAGTTCCTGGTTTGTAAAGCTGCAGCTGCACCCCAAACCCTAATCCCTAGACCCCAAACCTTAAGAACCACCAAAACCCGGCATACACCCCAAGCCCGAAACCCTAAACTGAAACCCGTAACGCTGTGCAAGAGGTTTACAGGACCCTGCTGTCCTTGCATTACCCTAGCAGGGTTCAGGGTTTATAGGCATTGCTTTGTAGGTTAGGGTTTAGGGGTTAAGGGTTCAGAAAAACAGTAACTTGGAGCCCAAATACTCGGGTCCTTCTCTCAAGGAGCCCTGGCTAGGAAGGATAACTAAGCCTAAACCCTAAATCCCCCCCTCCTGGTTCAAGAAGCGTTCTAGGGCAATTGCTTGACGATTCGAGGTCTTCGGACCGGTAGCTTGGGCTTGTTTTGTCACTTAGGACTTGCGTTCAAGAGAAAACAAGATGGTTTGGGCATTTTCTGAGCCAGCGACTCGTTCTAAGTAAGCCACTAGTCACTAGTATATGATCTTATATCAGATTTCCACTCATAGCCTCTCTATGTTTACCTTAAGCCCTGAGCCTTTGCCTTCTACTCTTCTGCTCGCCGCAGGTCGTGTTCTTTTCATGGTTGCGGAGGAGGCAGGCAGAGTGTATGGGGAGACGTTTCGGCCTCGAGTTCGGCAAGCAAGAAGTTCTAGGGTTTTAGGGCTTTTAGGTTTTAGGGTTTGAGGGCTTTTAGGTTTTAGGGTTTTAGGGTTTAGGGTTTTAGGATTTAGGGTTTAGGAGTTATGGAACAACACGAGTATAGCAGCCAAGATGATTAGCAACTTTGTATCACTATTCCTGGCATGGCTACTCAATGTAGATGTAGGGTTCTCTGTTTCACCTCTACAGTATGATAGATACAGTATGATATACCCCAAAACCTACTCCGAAACCGTATCAAACTCATCAAGGCTGAACCTTCAAGTTAGCAACTTCGTACGGGCACTACAATAAGGATGCTTGAATAATGAGGGTACCATAATCAGGGTACTACAAGAAGTTAGAGTTCAGGGTGTTGGTCCCCGAGCTCCTTCAAGTCAAGTCAGGGGCCTCCTGAAGCTTAGAGCAGGGGTCGCAAGAATTGATAACGCTATCCGGTGGGTTTTGTAGCCACCATACAGCCTGACTCTAGGACAATGTAGGCCAAAGACCCAGTCTAACTGTCAAGTTTTGAGGATCATCTTCCTGGGGTTTAGAGATTGGGAGTGGGGCTTTGTAGGTTGATCACTTGTGGCACTCAGAGTTTGGCACCGACGGTTTCTATAACCTCTAAACCCTCAACCCGCAAACCCTGAACCCTGAAACCCTAAACCCCCTAAAACCCTAAAAACCCTAAAGCCCTAAAACCCTAACCCCTAAAACCCTAAAAACCCCCAAACTCGTTGTTTTAAGTCTGAGGCTCACTTCTGGGGCTCGGGGCCTCTCTGGCCACCAGGTAGCACTCCGGAGTTCCACCGCCTCGAGTCGCTTGTGAGCCCCAAACCGCAACCCCAACCCCAACCCTGTTAGGGTTTAGGGGTTTTAGGGTTTGGGGGTTTTAGGGTTTGGGGGTTTTAGGGTTTAGGGTTTTAGGGTTTAGGGTTTTAGGGTTTAGGATTTAGGGTGTGGACCAATACAACAGGCTCTGACTTCGAGTCCCCATTTTCTCAAACATAAATGGGGAGGGCAGCAGGAAGATGCAAACAGCAGCTCAGGACACTCTTCAAAAGCCCGATCGTTACAGGCTTTGGGACTTAAGGTGTCGCGATGCCGCAGGTGGAGGATTGAAGTCAACTTTCACAGCAGGTCTTCTTGCAGTACACTCCGACAATTAAGTCATGCACTGTTAACCAACCCCAACATTGAAGCCGTGTCTTGATCCCAATTCATGCCCAATCGGGTAACGTTTGAACTTCAAGGCTTAATGAGTTTGAGTCTCACATAGAGCCCTCGGGGACCCCACAGAACTCTATAAAGCCTATGAGTCCCTGTAGAAGTCTTGGGCTTGTCTGTCAGGAGCTCTACAAGTATGCCAAGAGCGTTTGCAACTCCTTCGGTCGGAGGCGTGGCGTGACGCATGACATACGTACAGGCATACACGCATACAGACAAACATGCCAGCCGTTGTGATGACCAAGGCTAAAGTTCAATTACAACCGCACTTGCTGATGCCACCGACACCCCATGTGGCTCACACACGTTCATGCAGCCCGAACTAATGCAGTATAGCAAGGTTCGGCTGTAAGCACCATCTGGCTGTTTTAGACGATTTAGACTGTGAGATCGAACATTTGTTGGGGTATATTATACCATAGTTGTAGTAAGGAACTCAGGAACTCCCCAAACAGAATTTAGTCATCAAGGCCTCTATATCAACACTACACCCTGAAGTCGTTTCTGTCGGCAGGCGTGGCATCTCCGTAGCGCGCGCCTCAATGAGTTTTTTTTCTAGCGAGCAATGGAAGGTTTGGAATCAGAGGTTAGGGTTTAGGGTTAGGGCCTTCAAGATTCATCGTTCCAGGTACATTGCCTAGACTTGTTCTCTAGTAGGTCCTTGGCACTTTGCAGGTTTTATGGCCTCAGCTGTTCAGGCTTTCTTGTCCCAGTTTTCCTTTTTTGTTTTTTTGGCACCCTAGTATTAAACATCCTTCAGGGTTTAGGGTTTCGGGTTCAGGGCTTAGGGTGTAGGGTTTAGGGGCCTTCTGACATGGAGCCTTTCCCCGAAGTATATAAACCTAGAGAAGATTTAACATTGATTTTCCCTACACCTGCAAGCCCTATGAACAGGACTTCATCGTGCGACTCCTGACACCTACCATCGTCCCGCTAGTCAGGTGGATCTACGGGAGCTTGACGAGAAGTGCGCGACTCAAAACGAAATGGGTCCTAGGACTTTGTAGGGTGCGTATGGGTTGTAGGCTTTGTAGCAGCTTGAGGATTTAAGAGTTTAGGGTTTGTGTTGCTATAGACATATCTCGTCAGCTGAGATGGTTTCTGGTTCAGGAGATTTAGTGCGGTGCCCGCAGGTGTTCAGACTTCTGGTTTGGATCCTCTTCGGGCTAGAGGCCCTTCGAGGTTCCCGCAGAGTCATGCAGAGGATGATTCTGATGTTCTGATGGGGCTTCATTTGAGTCTTGCAGCGGCCCTACTAGAACCGCAGGAGGTTTCAGATTTCAGTTACCTTCGCTACACTCGAAACTCTGACGCCTAAATATCTTTCAAGGCCTTCTAGGAGTTCTCAAGTTCTCAATCCCGAAAGACACCAAGAGGCGTTTTTCGGTGAGGCAACGGATCCTGCCAGAAAGCTTTCTTGGACCGCTTCGGCTTTCGGGTCTAGGGTCAAGTTCACGGGTCCAGCCATCTCCAGCGTTGTGAACTCGTTGTGTAGCTGCCCTGAAGCTCGAAGGGCCCATACACAGGCTTGAATAATTTGTAGGTGTATCACCATGCACCACACCCCCCTGTCGTCCCTACACAGTTATATTATCATGCACCCCCACACTCTATTGAAACCGTCAAGACCCGGCTAAAATGTCTGAGTGTAACCATTCACGAGTCAGGCTATTAACGCCCCTACATGATCTGAGTACTACCTGAGCCTCATGGAATCCTGAGCCCTAAATCCTAAAACATAAAGGGACTCAAAAACAAATCCTAAACCCAATATCCTAAAACCTAAACCCCAAACCCTATACATCCTAAGCTCCCTAAACCCTTAGAGCAGGTTTGCGGTGGACGTCCGCCATGGTGGGCAGCAGCTGTCGTTGGCAGCAGCCAAGGCATCCCACAGCTCGGGGGAAGGTCTGATGGGACAGGCTCCAGGGTTTAGGGCTTAGTGTTTAGGGTTTGGGGTGTTTGGCGTGGACACCACTAGCAGCATAGTCAGGCTTGCACACCGATATTGCCAACTCTCGCACTATTCGGGAGTGCCTAACGAAGCGCAGGCACGAGGCACGCACTTCTTCGCGGCCGCCGGCGCTACAATTAGCGCATCACACAGCACAACAGCAAACCACAGATGCCTCTACCGGGCCGGTCAGCCACTGCCTTCGCGCTCAGTGACATGTGGCACACACTGAAGGTCGGACACGGCCGTCGAAGTTCCGCATTCTCAGTTGCAAGTTGCCAACAAGAACAGAGCTTCACTGCAGGGTCTCAAACTCAAGCCAAGATCGTGAGGATGCTGCAGCCAGAGCACACCGGTTAAACAGTGCCGTGCCCAATTCATTCACTCACATGTCTAAAGCCCCACGCCTGAAGGCAAAGGAATGCCACATAATTATCGACGGCCACCTCTGGACGGGTCGTTTCGTGGTCTGGCGCTACCCTGTAATGCTGACCGCCGACATGGAAGTCTGGACGGCGACGACACATTCCTGACAACTGCATCATCTGCAGCCGGTACTGCGGAGGCATTGGGGGGTGCAGTTGCATCGATCGACGCTTCGCTACTACTACGACAGAAACGTACATGATGCTGCAGTGTCATTACGCAACCGTGCAATTGTGCTGCCCAGGCGTCGTCAAGTTAGGAGACGGAGACTACGACGGGGACTTTATCCAGATATCAGCCTGGGTGGAGCTACTGGATTTCATGGACAATACCCCCTCGGAGATGGACGCTCCAGCCCTTAAGAATCTTGGCGGAAACAACAAGCCCTCGAATTGTCATGATTTAAAAGACCAACACGTGTTCGTCCCACGCTGAGGCAAGCCCGCGACGACATCCTCGCGTCCCTCCCGGAAAGGACTCCGTCCCGCCTCACCTCCATAGGGAGCTACAGGCACTTTTGCTCGACGATAGAAACAAATTCGGTGCGAGGTCTGGCATGCGCAATGAACGAGCGTGCGCAGGATGCAGCCTGTCGGTCTCTGGACCCTGCCGGAGACGGCTCTCTTCTTTTAGCGGTCAAACTCGCCCAAGTGGCCCACATGGCTTACGACGTGCCGAAGAAATTCGACGCATCGCAAGTCCTTGCATTAGGCACACGGCTTCTGCGCGATGCCGGCATACATTGCCAGGACTGTCGCTGCACTTCCCGTATTGTCCAAATGAACCCGCTCCCTTTGCCGCCGTCCCCTGCGGTTTTTGCCTGGCAAGCCAGCCAGCTACAGCTGGCATGGCTTGGTGTGCAGGGGGGAGACCATGGTGCGTTATCTGGAGTTCTTGGGGAAGGAGCTTCGCCTCCGCCGGGCGAAATACAACTTGACGCTGCAGGACAAGGCCTTGGTGATTTGCAAGGACGCGACGGTCCACACCGATGCCCGGTTTTCAGAGCTGAGGCACCTTCGGGAGAAGGAGCACAACTGCCGGTGCTGACAAAGGTTTCCGTAAATGTGCCCGGAGGGTTCGGTGCTTCTGGCGGGCCGGTGGCACCAGATGTGGAGGCTGCTTCGACGGGTTTGGCTCAGAAAGGCTTTGGGCGGCGCCAACAACCTGGCCTTTGGGCGTCAGCATCAGGATTTGCAATTTGATTTGGAGGGCGAGATCAATATGCAGTGCCCCTTGCTGGTGTCCCTCGCGTCCGATGTCTATGCGATGAAAGCCTTGGGCCAACACAGGGATGGCAACGTCAGCTTGGCACAGATTGGGTTATATGTGTCAGCGGAAGAATTGGCAAAGCTGTGCTTCGACGGTGGTATGGATGCCGTTGCCACCGCCATGTCACACGTGCAAGGGAGCATGAGCACGCTCTTCAACCTTGACGTGTTGCCAGAATTGGGTTTGGAGGCCGCAGCTCAGGACCTGGACAGCTCCGTCGTCGGCACTGCTTTGCACTCCAAACGGCATGTGTGGTGGATCCACGATGAGGCAGACAGGTGTTTGCCCTTGCCAACTTGGACGAGCCGTCTGGTGGAGCTCACCATCATGGCCTGGGTCAAAGAGCGGCAAGCATGCCCGTTCAGAGAAGAGAGACTGTCAGCGGAAGCAGGGGCTGCGTTTAGGCGATGCTTACTGCGTCGCAGGCCCTTTGGAGAGTACGGCAGAGCGAGTCCTTCTAGAAACAATAGGAGGATTCCTCGCTCATCGGCTAGCGCAAAGTGCTGGCCCGAGGCTGGCACATGTAAAAGCAGGAGACCTAGAGCCCTTGATTGTTGCCGCATCAAATGAACAGAGGCCGAAAGCAATTAACTCTTGGTCGTACCTTTGTACCTCTTGGCTTTGGCTGGCACGCGTCGCAGGCCCACAATGAGCTTGACGGTATTCGTGACTCCTGCTTTAAGCTTTCCGTCCGAGGTGCACCTGGCGGAGTGCATCTCGACGTGGTTTAGGGTTTAGTGTTTAGGGTTCCGTGTAGTAAACCCTAAACCCTTGGGGTTTAGGGTTCAGGGTTTTGGGCTCCGTATAGCAAGCCCTACAAATGTGGGTTCATCTTTTGGGTAAGCCCCAATCCCTTGGGTTTATGATCTTGGGTTAGGGTTCCGTATACTAAACCCGAAACCTGTCGGTTTATGGTTTTGGGTGAGGGTTCCGTATGGTAAACCCTAAACCCTTGGGTTTATGGTTTTGGGGTTTGGGTTTAGCCGCGGAGTTTAGCCTCAACCCTAAACCCAACGTGGGGCACAAAAGGTTTCTATGGCGGCATAGGCTGCTGCTTTAAGGATCGGGGACTTGGTGGGTATAGGCTTCTTTATCGCAAGTTAAGACACTTGTCAACTTGTTTGCAGCCTGCTTGCTAAGCTTCCTAGTCCACAGAAATCCTGTCGGGCAACCCTTGTAAAGCCCGCCCACATGGCCCTATAGATCTTAACAGAGTTCAATGCTATTTAATAACGCTGTTTTCGGCGTTCTCGATTGTCCTCTTGCAAGCTAGCTTTGGCATCGGGTGGGAAGTTGGGGTTCAAGGACACGGCAAAAAGGGGCTATGGACTTGGGGATCTTACTCTATTGCTGTAGCACTGAAGTACATAATCGAAGTTGGTGTGGCGGTAATCATCGTCTGTATCCGGCATCAACAGCAATAGTAAGACAACAACCTAAAATGACTTTTAGAAGGATGCCGAACTACTACTTCGAGTAAGCAAGATACGCATAGTCATGCCAAGTGCCAGAGCTATGATGTTGCGAAGGTTTGCACTATATGTCACTACGTACCACTACATCTATTGCATGCAGAATGGCAAGATTTTCAGCACCCATTCAGCCATGATCATGCCACGGACACCACCAGCTGCCGGCTGAGTCGCAATCTCGTAGGGCACCGACACTCAATATCCTCAGTCTTCGTTCTCGCAGCCCACGTAGAACGTCAGCTCCAAGCTAGTAGCTCGGTGAACGCCATGACTTTCCGAAGCTTTCGAGCCCGGCGGCGCCCGGTTTCTGTGCTGGGTGCCTCCTTGACGTTTCTGGCCTTCGGATCTGCACTGGTGCCCGCGCCCTTTGCCGATCGCATTCGGGCGCCTGAGAGGGGCTCCGCTGGAGGGGAGCCTGCTCCAGACCTTCAGGAAATGCTGCGATGCCAGGCACTTCCTTTGGCAGCCTTGTCTTGGTTTACAGGTTTGCTGGCGATCTGAACGGAAATCTTTCTTCGAGCATACCAGCTTCCGGCTTGAATTTCGTAGTCTATGCAACATGACAGTTATCGACTTCTTACGTTCACCTAGGAAGGATCCTTACTTTCCAGTGACGCCTCTTTGGAGCCCGGCACTGGGAATACAGCTTGAACTAAAGCAGGTAGCACGGTTCAGTCTAGTGTAGTTTATCACCTGGCAGCTACAGCTACAGTCGACGAGCTGTATCAAATTATTCTGATAGCTTCGTAACTTTAGCAACCATCTAGTAGTTACAAAAAGTTAAACCTGGGGTCTGAGGAAAAGACATCCTCCGGAACTGGGCCAACCTGGCGGCATTGGGATGGCTCGGACGAGCCTATCTCTCCTTCGATTGGCTCTCATGGCTCTGGCCACAGCTGTTTCAACTGTCTCCGTACGACGACGGTCTGACCTTGCAAGGCTTCAAGGTTCAACTGGATGATGGTATGGAGGAGTTCGAGATGACTTGCACATTAAAGGAGAGCAGCGTCTTAGCCCGGGGCCTTCCTCTGTGCTTCAACTTCCGCATCAAGACCGGCGCAGCGAGGAATGAACCCTTCTCTATCACGGGTGCGAGCTTGCGTCGCATCGGATGTGATCTCTTGGAGCGTTCCTAACGTGTGGAGCCAGTGCCTTGCAGCATCCCGGCCTCCAGCCTCTGCGACCAGATCAACAGCAAGTCGGACGTCAAGAGGTTGCTAGGCCAACCTGGGGGGCAAAGCATCAAGCGGTTCAAGGTTCAAGGTTGCAGCAAAGGGTTTAAGCTTCAGCTTTATGAGGGCGGTACCCTTAGCCCAGAGCCCTTAAGACCCCAGACCCCACATCCGAAATCCCTAGAAAACGCACTTCTCCCGCACGATGCGCGTAACAAACCCAGAAGCCACAAGTCCGAACCCACGAAAAGTTTAAAACCAAAGTCCCAAGGCCCCGAAGCTGAAATCCCCAAAGCCCTAGCCCCTAAGTATCGAAGAAACCCCAAACCCTAAACGAATAAATCCGTATCTCCCAGGCTTTTGGTCGAGTCACTGACGGAGACCCGTGGGAGTCATTAGTACAAGGGTCGCTCTTTCAATTAGGGTCCCTTTCAGGGTCCTTTTTTTTTTTGCTTGGGGACCCCCAAAATGGAGCCTAATTCAGAGAACTACCCTAAGGATTGCGAGTTTGGGGGTTTGGTTAGGGTTTTGAGGTTCAGGGTTTAGAGTTGAGCACACGTTCCCCTTCTGCTTGGTGCTTCTACTCTGAGCGTGCTTCTTGTCGCTGCCGGTGCTGTCATGCATTCCGGTTATTGTTTCAATTAGGGTTACCCCAACCCTACATCCTAGCCTCTGGTGCTCGTTGTTTATGACATGACTCTGTGACATGACCCTTGCTGTTTTTTGCTTTTCTGTTAGCGCGCTGGAAGCTCAGGACGATTTTCGGGCCCTTGGCCCAAGTCGCTGAGGCAGCGGAGGCAAAGGCTGAGCTGGAGTCAAAGTGGCCTGGACTTCCTTTCGATTCTGGGCAACTTCTGGGCTTAAACTTCCGGATTTCGGGCTTCTACTCAGGGGCGATAGGGGTAGAAGGTTTGTGCTTTTTGGGGGGGTGCTTGAGGTTTCAGGGTTCAGATCCATGAAAAGCGTGGGGAGGCGTTTTCCTGCTCAGGATGTGGGTTCTTCTGGTTTTGAGGCTCAGAGTTTGGGCTCCTCTGGCTTTCCAGCGAGGGTTTACATGCGGCGCAACGGGGTCTTTGGGGCTTTTTTTAGGACTCTGATGGGTTTGTTAGGGTCGAGGGTTTAGAGCTCAGGCTTTGGATTGCTCTTCTCTGTTTTGTTTCGGGCTCTGCGGTACAGAGTTTCACGTGGGGCTTAGGGCCATGATGGTTGCTCGTGTACCTTACGAGGTGGTTTTGCTTACAGATCCCGGCCTGCGCACCCGAGGTCATTACTAGATGTTGTTGGCTTCAGCTATAATGTCGAGAGTTACGGTTAATCTTCCTTAGATAAACCTACCTGCCCTCGCCCCCTAAAGCCCAAGCGCTCACACCCCCATAGCCCTGAAACTACGACCACAAGGCCAAGCAGGACCCCATGAAACACCCTCTATACGAACCTCCCGGGACCCTCAATTGCAGCTCCTTCTCTTAATTACCTTGTCGCCTTATTCCAGCAGCCTAGGCAAAGGTCAACCAGGAAACTACAGACTTCGGATCAGACCCTAACCCCTAAACCCCAAACCCCAAACCCCTAAACCCTAAACCCCTAAACCCATAAACACCCAAAACTCCTAAACCCCTGAACCCTAAACCCCTAAACCCCTTAACCCTAAACCCCTAAACCCTACGTCAGCCCTCTGAACAGCAAAACGGAGAGCCCAGGCAAGGAGGAGCCCTGGGTTTCAGCCCTCGCCAGGACGGGGAGGGGGGCCTTGCGTTCAGCTGGGAGCCGGCGTCGCTGAGATCTTTTTCTAGGGATTTAGGACTTGGGTCCTAGGAAATCCTAGGAAAGTTTAGGTTCCAGGGATTTAGGATTTGGGACCTAGGAAATCCTAAGAAAGTTTTAGGTTCCCGCGCTTGCAGGGGTTTGGAGAGCTCTGGGCTCACACAGTTTAGGGCTCAGGGCGCTGTTGCTTGAGGGTTCGATGAGAACTTCGTCCGGTTGTTCATTGCCGTTTTGGGGTTTGAACATACATAGAAGCCTCAACTGCGACTGTCATGTCCACCTCCCTTCAGTCCCCCTTTTGATCGTGCAAGTCTGTTTACATGTCCCACAGAAACCGCCCCACTCCTGTTTTAGTAGTTCTGGCCTGTACACCCGAGACCCATAAGCCTTAGCCCCACACCTTGAACCCTAGCTTTTCAACAGCACCTTAATTTCTATGCCTTAAGCTCTATATCCTAAGCCCGGACAGGAATTCTGGGCCCGTGAGGGCTCCGCCGAGAAGTGGCTAGAGTGTGTCAACGGCCACCTGGTGAGATGTTGAGTTTGCTTTGCTACTGGTTGGTATATTAGTTTTGTTTTGTTACCTGTCGGATTGATGATTTCTAGGCTGGTGTTGATTCCTTTGGACCCTCATCAAAGAGGATGAGAGGGTGATTCTGCCCCACAAGCCCCGAATTTCAAGAAGAATTAACCTATCATGTTCTCTTCGTTCAACCAGCGAAGCTGGCAGAGTTCAACACCTCAATCCCCAAACTCTAGGCTACAACCCCGGGGTACCGGCTGCTCAGTCCAGAGCAAAACTGATTTATGTTTATATGAGTTGTTGTTTGTCTCGATTCTTCGCTTGACCTTCCACTTTAGCTTCATCGCCGGTTACGCCAGGATGTTCTTCGCAAGTAGGGGTACGGCTACATCTGGTCTCTTATGGTAGGTATTTAGGGTCTGATGGAGTTGAGATGGAGGGTCTACGTAGATACCTTCAATTCGCGGTCAACTCAAGGAGCTTGGAGCACCCTCCACTTCATGGTCGAACCCTCCAGTAAGAAGTGACCTAGACGTCATGGAACTATAAACCTACATCGTAAACTCTGAACACCCGAAATCCGGAACCTCCGGCAGACGGATGACTCTGTTCACACTGAACCTACAGCCTGTACACCCTAAACTC